GCTGGCGTCGCCCCACGTGGGATAGTCAACGCTGGCCACGCTGGTTTTGTAGTGCACACGTGGCGCCACGGTGGAGAGGGTGATGAAGGGTCTTAAACGACGACGTCGGAGAGAGAAGGGCATTAGGCCTTCGGCGGATACGACGGTGATCTCCGCCACGTACGGCGGCGGAGACTTGTGGCTGGAGTACATGTGGGTGCGTACAGATATTGTGGGCGTAGTGAGAGATATTGAAGGGGACTTGAGAATTAGTTTATGGTTTTTTAGGCTCGAAAAGGGGATATTGCTTGAGAAATAAGTTAGAAATTATAGGAAAGGTTAAAACAAAAACAAAAAGCACAAAAAGCAGTAAAGTGATCACTTTATAACTTTCTTAATGTCACTTTCTTTTCGGTGGCAGGATTTGAACTCACAATCTCACAATCTTTTATATATATATTTCTTCGGAAATAGCCAATAACATTCTTTCTCATGATCTGGAAATATCTGCGGAGATGGATGCCGAACCCCTCCACGAATGGATTGATGGACCGGAGAATTGCGTGAATGACGAGACCGGCTTAACCTAAAGTCGACGGCTCTCCCCTCTATGCCCTACGATAATGATTCCTTTGGCATTACGACCTTTACCACAACGAGCTGGTGTTGACCAGTTTTGCAATATGGATGGACACAAAAAAAAATGTGAAAATACAAAAGAGAAGAGTAAAGATTCCCGATCCAGAGCATGTTATTGACTCAACCACAAATCTGTTGGGGAGGGGAGGCTACGAACCCTCTCTCGTTGCTGTTCCCAGATCACCCATCCCTTCCTCTTCGCCCGGCCTTGTAAATTAATAAATTAAATAAAGAGAATTAAATTTATTAATAACACGGATTTGAGAAAGAAGCCACAAAAATCTCAACGCTTGAATAAGTCCAACAAAAAAGAAAAGTGGGTAATATTGTAGAAAAGCGGCGCGGCGTGTTTTTACGGCGCCGTGGTGGAAGAAACTCTCCCTCACCTCGAACGAACTTTCGTTGGAATTCCGCCGATCCGTCAATATCCATGTTTTATCTTTTGGCTGATTCAGGAAAATAAAATAAAGAGCTTTTCTAAATAAACAAAATGTTTAAATATTTTCCCGATCTTCGTACTATTTGAGAGAACGCATAAATTAACTCAGGCAATTCAATACCAAACACAAATCTAATTCAAATAATTTAATATATTTTAATATAACATTTAAATATAATCACAAATATTTTCAAAATTTATTTGGATGATTTTTGGGACCTCTTAAAATTTTCTATTTGTTTTAAATACAACATGGTTGGAGTAGAAATTCGAACCCACCACTTTTTATTTTTTTTGAATGTATACTCTAGCCAGTTTAATTATGTTGGAATTGATAGTTTCTTATCCATTTTAAATTTGTATTTCATGGCAATGTATAAGGTGGATTCTTTTTTCATTTAGAAAAGAGGTCGATTATTTTTTTTATTATTTTCTTTTTTTGCAAAGGGAAAATTTACTAGATTGATAATGTTTACAATCCTACGAGTCTATTAATATTCAAATCTCCAACCTATTAATCAATGAAATATATCTTAACTAGTTGAATTTTAATCTAATTATGTTGATTCGTCCAGATACACAAATAGACAAAATAAAAATAGGTAAAACAATTTTGAAATTAAGAAATATTATATAAAATAGTGCAAAATAGCAAAAACTACCTCTAAAACTATGGTGATGGTTATAATGTTACCCCCTCCAACTTACAATTTGATCCGGTAAATCCTTAAATATTGAAAAAGGCTTCAACTTGCCCTTGAACTTATTATTGTTTCAATTAGACTCTCAAACTGTAGGCTTTTTTTCCCTCATTCGATTCTACAAAATTTGAAAACTATGAAGCTCTGAAAAAATTGGTTTCAGATCAATCCTAAGCCAATACTATCGATACAAAAAAAAATTGATATAAATTTTTTTTGTATCGATAGTATAGTACGAGAATTTGATTGTAACAACACTCTAATAACTCATAGTTTGTTTGTCAATCTTATAATACTTAAGAGGGACCATTTGTTTCGTGGGAATCCAAGATTTCCATTGGACGGACGTCTTGATTCTCACATTTGTTTTGCGGGGAATGTAAGATGTCCGAGTATCCTAGGATGCCCGTACGGGAGGCATCTAACGAGTTTTGGATGCCCTTTTGAAACGTGGGTATCCAAGATTACTGAGGGTATCCGCTCTTTACATTTTTTGCCCCTCATTTTTTATATATATTTTCTTTTATCAATTTTCTTCATTTTTTCCCAATTTATTTTATTTTATTTTTAAAATTATAATTTATATAAATTAATAGACTCATTGTTTAATAAGCAATTTTATGCAATTAAGTACATTTGTACATTACATTTGCATATAAAATAAACTGCAATTAAATTATATAATATCTCGATCTATTTTTAATATTTTGAAGGAATTATATTTTTAATAATATGAGTATTGAGGACATTTTTGGAGCCTTCTATAAAATTAACACATTTCCAAGAATAAATCATGCCAAACAAATGTGACTATCCAAATATTCCTAGACATCCTTAATAAATTTTTCTACGAAACAAATATGACTATCTGAAGATATCAGGCATTTAAAATTTCGAACATCTAAAATTCCGAGCATTGATAGATGCTGGACATCTACATTCTCGAAAAACAAACAGTCTCTCAACGGCAACTCTCAAGTATATTGAAAAATAAAATAAAAAACAAAAGAAATGATTGTACGGAAAAATGCACTTATTGACTGATCAGAATAACTTAGGCCAAGTAACGTTATTATTTTTATTTGTTTAATCTGAAACTGTGATCAATTTTTGAAATCTTAAAAGAAAAACAATAATAAATGTAAATGATTAAAAATGTCAAAAAAGTAATGGAAATGGAAGTTTTGATATCTAAAAAAAAAAAAATTAGAAACAAAGGATTTTATTAATTATTATTATTATTATTAGTTTAACTAAAGCTTGTAAGGGAGAGGAGAGGGAAGAAAACTCCCAAGAAAAATCTGGGAATTGCAGTCAGTGGAATGTAAATTAAATGGTCCACAATGAATGCAGCATTAATGTGTGGCATTTCCCCCTTTTTTCCTTTTTCTTCTTTGCTCTTCTCAACCTTCCGATAAGTTGAGGGAAATTATTTTCTTAAATAAAGGTAGTTTTATTTTTTAAATTTAGCTAATAATTCAAATATACTTTAAAAAAAGAAAAAAAAAACTTGTTAATAAAATGGTAAAAAAATAAACATAGTTTTTAAAAATAGATAACTAAAAACGAAATGCAAACGGAATCTAAAATTTTCTACTTATTTCATTAATTTTTTAGTTTTTTAACTCCGTACAAATCATTTATGTTCAAAATTAAATACCATTTTAAAATAAATCATGATACCTAGTGTATTCAAAATTTTGTTGAATGAGAAAAAGGTTTATAATAAATTTAAGCTAAATAAAATAAAATAAAAATAATGGGGCACATGATGTAGAGAACTCTTTTCCAGAATGTTGGATTCGTTATTGTCTTCTTTATTTGAGTCAATTTATCTTTCGATTGCTTTCAAGAACTTTCTTGTTTTCCTTCTTTTTAAAAGGATATTTCAAAGAATAGAGTGATATCTCACAATATTTTCAGTGAAATTCTCTAACCAACATATGGTTTTATTAATAAAATAGAAGATTTCTTTTTTTTTTTTGTTGTAGGAACTAGTACTGATATTAAAAAACATAGAGAGACTTCACTACATCAATATTATGTATTCTATAAGAAGAAAGTTATTTGAATTCTTAAACTAAATTTCTAAGAAAACAAAATTTTTTTAAATGGTTATTTATTTTTAATTCTAAAAACTTGTCTTAAAAATGTTTTTTTCTTTTTCTTTTTTTTTTTTTTAAATTTAACAGCACATGAAAAATCATAAACTTGGACTTGGGGTTAGAATAAATCTCTTGGTCGAGAATATATGTTTAAAAGAAGTTAACATAAAGTACTATTTATAAACTTAATCTTAAAAAATATTTGCCCTTAAATATGACCTTTCTTTTACTTTTCAAAATTTAACTTAGAATAAAATGAGAAGCAGTATTTATAAGCTTAATTAGAAGAAAAAAATAGTTATCAATCAAGATTACAAATTGTGACATTTTTCTTTGTTTAATGGGAAGGACAAAGGAAGAACGTTACCATTGCCAGAAAAAGAGAAGAACGTTAATTGGGCCTCATAATAAGCCCATACAATTACACGTGACATTGGACAACCGCCACCGGACACCGGAAACAGAACTGGCAGTTCTTTTTTTTTTTTTCTTCGCCCCCTTAAATTAGAATTGGAAGATAAAAATAGGAGAGGTTAAAATTACAAGTTCCCAGTTGCCATTTGCCAATCTTCCTGGGTATTTCCGTCATTCTAGACCTTCACCAACCGACCCAGCCGGTTGATCTTCCACGGTTTCGTCTTTTACAATTACAAGGACCAACCAAGCTCAAGCTCTTTCCCAAAAAGAAAAAAGAAAAAAGAGATATTTTAAATTTGTATATTTTCCAGCTCACGGGTTTGGCACGTGAGATTCTTGGAGCTGTCCAGGGCAGGGCAGGGCAGGGCCAATCATCTGCGAACTCTCTGATCTCAAAAACGTTATCTTCTTCTCGAAGTCATTTATGAATTATGATCGACTACTGCTACGACGTCGTTTTTATACACCATCAGGAGCCTTGATTCCCGAGTTCGAGCCACTGTGACGCGGATCCCTCTGGATTATCGGAGTTCTCATCCAACGGCTCTGCTTTAATCTCTGACCCGTTCTCACCTTCCTCGGACTGTACATGATTCTGCCCCACCATTTCTTCCTCTTCCTCTTCCTCCTCTCTCCTCACGCGCTTCACTCCGATCGAAACCCCGAACAGCTTCGGCGTCACTCCCTCCGCCGCCGCCGCCGCCGCCGTTGTTGCCTCCTCCACCTTCAGCCTCAACTCCTGTATCCCGTCGCTCACGGCGCCTTCGTCTTCCATCATCACCTGCGTCGCCGGCATCAGCTCCAGCGCCTTCCCATCCCGGACGCTCACCGACTCCGACTGGTGACCTGAAGCGTAATTCGTCATCAACGACAGTATGTTGTTACAGAGACCTTTCAACTGAGTCAACTCGTGACTCAGTTGCATGTTCTCCTTCCTCAGCCGCTCGTTCTCTCTTAGTAGTTCCGGTGTGGTGGTGCAGCTCGTGCCTCGCTGAAATGCCATGGGCGATGAGTTCGAGGACGTCACCTGCTCTTCTCCAGAGTTCGCCGGCGATATCACGTGCGCCACTGCCGGGGCCGCTGCAACCGTCACCGGCGACACCATGGCGGCCGGCGTTGGCGGAGTCGTCGCAACCGACAGCGCTACTTTCCGCCGCTGGATGTCTCGGAGAAGTCCTTTCTCGCCTCTCCGGAAACAATCGTTCGCAAATTCCCATCGGTCCGGCACAACCTTTCGAAATCCCTAAGTCGTGATTGAAGAAAAATAAAAAAGAAAATTCCAGAAACTTTCCGAGAAAAAAGGTACATAAACAAAGGCAGCATCCCCTCCATTTTTGCAGGAAAAGGAATGAACAGAGAAAAGAAAGATTAAGGGGATTCGTAATTTGGTAAACAGTTAACGGCAGAAACTTACGTAAGTGTTAAGTTGGCGGACGAAACTAGAAAAGTTATTGTGTTTAAAGTATTTAGGAAGTAAATCTCGGGCGAATTCAGCAGGTCGCCAAACTATGAAGGTAGATCCATCTTCGTTCCAGGAGATGAGGTCGTCAACAGCAGGATCATCCACGAGCTGAAAAGTTTTTGTTAGAAAAGGCGTCGGAATAGATCTCTGAGAATCTCCGGTTCCGGATTCGCCGATCGGTTCCGCCGGCGACGGAGACATCGCCTGTTCTCCCAGATCTGAACTGTAAGGATCTCCAATTTTCAGTAAGTTCCGCTTCAATCTAATAAATTAAACTCCGAATCAGAAACCAAAGGAGAAAAACGCACAAAACCGAAAATATAAAAAATCAAACGCACGATTAAGCTTGAAAATTAAAAAAAAAAACGAAGAAATACTCGAATTCCGGTCAAGGCAATGGAGCAATCTCGAACTCGGTCTCATACAGATTAAGCTCTCTCTCTCTCTCTCTCTCGTTCTCGAAAACTCCAAAAATTAGAATCCACAGATCAGAAAACCGAACAATTTCTTCCCTCTTCCCTCTCCCCTCCCTCAGTTTCCTAATCTCCCGTACGAAAAACAGAAGTTCAATAAATACACGATTATACGTCAAAGAAAACAAAAACAACAAAAAAAGGAATCGAAGTTGGTGTATTACCAGAAGAAATAGAAGAAAACCTGGGGCGGAATCGAAGGAGTTAAGAACACCGCCGCGCCTGAGAATGTCCTCCGCCACTGCACTGCAACGTCTGAAGCTCAACTAAGCCGCCCGTAGAGAGAGAGAGAGAGAGAGAGAGAGAGGTTTCTAGAAGTTTCTGGGTAAGGAGAGTAAATGATAAGGAAGAAAAAAGGAAAACGTGGGTTCGAGAAGGAAAAGGAAAAGAAATAAAATTAAAAAAACTAAAAAAGGGAGTGGGGTCCACAACAGAAGAGACATTATAGAGAGAGAGAGAGAGAGAGAGAGAAGGGGGAAAGGATAGGAAGGCACCAGAAGGATTGAGGTTTGGAAGCGTGTGCGTTTGTGGATTTTATTTTATTTATTATTATTTTTTTCAGGTTCTTAAAATCTTCTCCAGAAGCTTCCCCCTCCTTCTTTCCCATTTTACCCTTTTTCGTTTGGGCCGTTCCAATGGATTCTCCTTTACATTATCGGCCCAATCAGAACTGAGCGATTCCCATCCCTGCTATCAACAAATTTACGGACTTTTAACACTGTTTATTTTATACTCCTGTATTTCTTTATTTTATTATATAACAAGTCAATCCAAAATTAAATGTCGATAAACATGTTTAAATTATATATTTTATGAACAAATTAGTATTTGTATTAACTAACATATAGATTTTTAATGAAATTTATTTTGAGTCCCCATCCCAAGAAATTGGAAGAAATTGAATCTCATGTTTTCAAAATCTTTGAAAATAAAGAAAACATTTAAAAAAAATTTAGCCTATTTTGGATCATTACTCTTTTGATTTGTTTCCGAAAACCAAACGTGTTTTTGTTGTTTTCGATGTATTCCTGGTTTTTTTAAAACAAATCGAATAAAATTCTAGACTGTTGGACACCATAAAATTTGAATTCATTTATTCATACTTGTAAGCTAAATATTACAAAATTGTAAAAATTTTATTTTTATTTCATTCTATTTGGGTCATAATAAATGACTATTGTGACCTTATTATTTTAGCACTAAGCCAAATCGTTCCATACAAGTATTTAAGTGATTATGTTAAACAAAAAAAATATAATCAAGATAAAAAATTTAGAGATTGTAATTAAAACTATCTTAAATTTAAAGATTAAATAGCACCCACCATCCAAGTTCATTAACTAAGTATATAATTTAACCATTATTATATCTTCTCTTTTTCAATATATTTTTTTAGTAGGACTAAATAAGAATTCAAATATAGATAACTTAACTAGTTGAGATATGCTCGCAATGTAAAAATTTTAAATAATCCAAAAAGTAAATATTTAAATTAGATATACTAATCAGATTTTTTTTTAATACTGATTGAGTTGACAAAATATCACTTGAAAAAAAGTTAACATAATTTATATAAAATTTTTATACAAAACTTTTGAAAAGTCGCTGAACTTGGGCACTTGTAAGAGAACATAACCACTCATTTTAAGCTTTACAATAATTTATAGAAAAGAAAAACCATGTCCACATACAACGTATACATTCCTACTCAATTCATCATTCATTAAAATGTTACATATATTCTTAAAGAAAATGTTACATATATTTTAATAAAGCCTCTTTCCACTCACTCACTCAATTTAACATGTGAATGATTTTGGAAGTTATTACATCTCGTAGGAGTGTTTCACGAGTTGGATTGTGTCGGGTCAAAAGGTATATCCAACTCAATCCAAAATTTCGAGTTGAGTTTCTACCCGTCCAAACAACTCAAAACAAGATAACAATCCAACCCGATCCAACCCAACCTCTATTTGGGTATATAAACGAGTAGGACATCATAAATCATAAATAATAAAATATATATATATATATATATATATATATATATATATATATATATATATATATATATATATATATATATATATATATATATATATATATAATATCTATTTCACCACTCAGCATAGCTTGGCAAAAAGTTCTCATTTCCTATCTTGTGGGGAAAGGGAATATAAATGATAAATAGCCATGAAAAGATAAAAATATATTAAATCATCATGAACCAAAGATGGGGTCAGAGAGAGGCAGAGGCTAAAACTAAAAAGAAAAAAGAAGCAAGTAAAAACAATTCCTTGTAAAAGGCCTGCACATGAATGAAGTATATATGTTGTTTTCAAGGTTTCTTCTGGTAGCCCCATGGATTGTTGCTTGCCCACTTCCATTGATCCCTACACATTTCTTCTATGCCATATTTTGCCCTGAAATCACATCACCAAACAAAACACAAAAAACCAAATAACCAATGAATCAAAACCCATGGCCAATGTGTGGAAGATCTTGACAAAACTCTAGATTGGTTACATACTTCCAGCCAAGTTCTTTTGCAGCTTTCTCTGTTGATGCATAGACAGCCGTAGCGTCACCGGGCCTCCTCGGGCATAGTTTTATAGGGATTTTCTGGACAGTGAAAACAACCAACAGCAGCTTATGTACAACTCTTAACACAGAGAGAGAGAGGGAGAGAGAGAGAGAGCAGGGAAGGGGGGGACAGAGACCTTTCCAGAGGCCTTCTCAAATGCTGCAACCATTTCTAGCACAGATGTTCCGCGTTCAGTCCCCAAGTTATAGGCAGTGCACCCTACGGCAAGAATATATCGATATCTCTCAACCAAAGTTCTCAACAGGAATTTATCAAACTAATTAGATACATAGTTTTACGAAGATGGTTACCTATATCTTCCTGTGTAAAAAGTTTGCGAAGAGCAGCGATGTGACCGTCTGCTAGGTCCATAACATGGATGTAGTCACGGACCTTTTCATTGAACGGTATCAAAAGAATCAAATTTCAAATCAGTTTTGGATAAATATGTTCAGAAAGAGATGCTCTTAAGATAAAGCCATACGACATGAAGGAATAGCAAATGTTATACAGCATTACTGTCATTGAAATTTGACAACAGTGCCTAAGATATGGCTACCGTGCAAATGAATCATTATAGGCAGAGAAAGAAGTCGATGGATTTACGTACAGCGCTACCGTCTTTTGTTGGATAGTCATGACCATATACATTGAGCTCTGGCTGTCTCCCGACAGCGACTTGCTGAATGTAAGGCATAAGGTTGTTAGGGATGCCCTTAGGATCTTCACCAATTTTACCACTCTCATGAGCCCCAACAGGGTTGAAGTATCTCAACAAGATGATTCCCCAACTGGGTTCTGCTTTTTGAATGTCCCGAGCTATCTCTTCCAAAAAAAGCTGTAAAAAAATGGTTGGAACAAAGCTTCCAATCAGAAAATTCCCAGCACTGTAGGATTATACTCTCCGTTCGACTCCCAAATTCGTAGAAAGAAACATGAACATGTCTAAGCGGAAGCAAACTAACCTTTGTTCGTCCATAAGGATTTAGTGCCACCAATTCAAAATCCTCAACACACGGAATTTTCTCAGGCTGACCGTAAACAGTTGCAGACGAAGAGAAAACCATCTATTCACAACACATTTACGAACAAAATTCAAAGCATGATAAGCAAATTATTCAACAAGAAAGAACTAAGAAAAACATCTAAAAAGGAATAACTACCTTCTTACAATCATATTTTGCCATAACCTCATAGAGATTGATGGTCCCAACAAGATTATTATCGAAATATTTGCGTGGGAAAGCAACACTCTCCCCAACAGCTTTGAGGCCAGCAAAATGGATAACAGCATCAAATCTTACTCATGAAAAAAACCAATTGATAAGCATTAAACAAGTTCATAGAAATTAAATCATTCTAATTCCAGAGCCCAAAATGATTCAAATGGTCTCTAAATCATGCAAACCTCGTCTTAGAAAACAGTTTCTCTATGTCCTCCTTGTTCCGGAGCTCCCCCTACAAACAGAAATTACAAAATCAAAAACCCAAACAAGATCGTTCAGAACAAACAATGTCAAAAATGCAGAATAGAGTAGAGGATCCACATTGACACGAAAATTCCCAGAGAACCCAAAAAGGGAAAGAAAAGAGGATCCACACCAAATGAAACTCGAGTTTCTCGGAAAGTTTAGGGCCGACCAATTCCCTGACCCTATCGACAGCTTCAGTGACGGAATTATCAAGATTGTCGATAATCGAAACCCTAAATCCCTCTTTAAGGAGCTGAACGACAGTGTGGCTGCCGATGAATCCAGCCCCACCGGTAACAAGAATGCTCCGTTCTAAGCTCCCCATTTTGGCGAGAACGAAAAATTGAGAGGGCCCGAAGAGGATTTCTCGGGAAAACGACGGAAAATTTTCGGAACGGCGGATTGGAAGAAGATTTTGAGTTTGTTTCTGAGGGAAAATGGGGAGAAGAAGAGAAGATATTTATGGGAATTCGAAACCTTAGAGAATCGTGCAGATCAGGGGGAAACTGGTTCAAAAATTTTTCCTTTGTCCATCCTTTTATTTTTTTCTGGATAAGAACGCCAAATAGGGCGTGCTTTTTAATGGAGATTCTGTTTTTACAGAGTTTTCCGAGTTCGTTTTTGTTGGCGCGCTGGACGTTGTCGATGAACTCTCGTACGCGCTAACGGTGGCGCGTGTGCATCACGTATCAGCTTTGATCTCCCGTGATTTTCACACGGTTGTAACGAGTTTCGTCCTTCTAATCATAAGTTTTTTTTTTTTTTTTTTTTGCTTTAATAATAAGATTTTCTTGTTGGTTGTTGTTCCCTTTTAAATATCGACGTGGAGACCTGAGATTTCATTTTTCCCAAAAATGTTGATAAAAATACCTGGAGGATTTTGGAAATTTTATAAATTATTTAAATTCGTAAATAAATATTTTATCTTATCAAGTTAGGGTATTAGATTTTTTTTTTAATACAACATGTGGGGTGAGAATCGTACTCACAACCTAAAGTATATGTCAATTAACGATAAACTATGCCTAATTTAATAGGGTATTAGATTTTCGTGGACGATATTTCCATCAATAATCTTACATGTCTTGTCGTTCGACATCGACATGTAGAACAATCGACATTTCTATATTATCGTAAAAAAACAAACAAAATATGAAAAATATCACTAATATAGATATAATATAAATAATAATAATTTTAAACTTATTTAGAAAATGAGAAGGCTTATTTGTGAATTTAATTTTTTTTCTAATTTTTTTATTTTTTGTAATATCTCTTCAACGATATCGATATTTTCATGAAATTGAGACATCGACATTTTCATCCTATCAACATTTAAAATCTTATTTTTACTAAATTAAAGATTCTTATTATTAATATTATATCATAATATATTGTTGTCTGTATAAGCTACATACAAAAATTGATAGAGATTTTGATAGGTTGTTAGAAATTTAATGAGGTCGAATTTAGTTTTATCTTAATTTTTTTCAGAGAAATTCACTGGTAGCATTAATATATATAAAAGCATTTCCAAAATCATTTACAACTCTCCATTGTTTTTCCAAAATAGAGTAAAATGTGACTTTCAGTTGTGATTTATATAATTTTGAATTTTGAATTTGATTTGTATTATGCTATTTTAAATATATATTTATTTTATGTGATTTGTAATGTATTTAATTTTTAAGAGAGATAAATTTTTATTCGTGATTTATATTAAATCTAACCTTAAAACTTTGAATTTTATGAATTTAAATCTTTAACTTGAATAAGTGTTAGTTAATATAAACTGTATATTTGAATAATTGTTATAATTAATATCCCCATTTATTATGTTTACAATTTTTTTCATTTTTTTTTGAATGAGCAGACAGTGTTGTTATGCTTAGATGGGACTATTTTTACTAGGATTGGTTCTTCCAATTTGTGTTTGATGATTTTAATTAATTGAATTTAGGTATTTTGTTGTTAACTTTGAGTAATTTTTATTTACTTGATTTTGCACTTTGTGGCCGGTTGAGATATCTTTAGTTGAATTTTGTATGATTTATATTGATTCATGAATAATTTTTTAATTTAATTTTAACGACCTATTAATTATAACTCTTATTCAACCTCATATTTAAATTGAGAAAATTTAAAATTTAAGGTTAATTTTGATTCACTGACCTAAGGGCAGGATATTAAAATTGAACCTTTTTCTATTTTCTAAAATGAAATTTACATTCTTATCCAAATTGGGAGAAACAAATGTTACAAGTGCATCTGAGATTGATTTTGTTCTTACCCATCTAGACATTGATTGTTTCTTCTCATTTTTACTATTGTTGAACTAAAAAGACATATTTTATTCCCTAAGAAAGTATAGTTTGTGACTCCATCTAAAAAAATAAAACTAAAGTGTTTTTGTTTATGTTTCTTTTATAAGAATTATAATGTTTTTCTTTTATGTGATTAACTTTTTAAAATTAAAAATATTTTTATTCCTTTTCATTTATATAATTTCATTATTGAGAAGAAAAAACCAAAATTTAAACTAAATTATTTACTTTAAATGACTATATGTATATAATTAATAAATAGGTTCTAATTCAAACTCATAACTTCTAGTTCAATTATCACAAAGATAAATTCAAATTGACAAATTACATAATCCTTAAAAAGTTACCGCCCAACTTTTCCCATAAGCTACCCTACACTGACTCAGGGTTAATTAGGGAATTTTTTATAATTATTTTTTTATGCCAATGTGGAGAGAAGCAATTTTCGGTTATTACATTTCTTTTTAGTATATAAGTTACAGATATACTCAATATGAAATATCAATATGATATACCTCGCTGATAAGATAAATAGTAGTGATGTCGAAATTGTCTAACATTTATGATATTAGTACATCCATCAACAAATAGCAGTGATAAACTACAATTTAAATAGTTGATATACCACCGCAAATGAAACAACCGATGTATCTTATATTTAGTATATATCATAAATTAGAGGTAGATTAATTGATATTAGTGGTATAATACGTATATCAAAGTTACATATCTGATGTCGTATGTCAGAGTTACATCAGAAATACATCAGATGTATATAAGAGGTATATAAGATGTTATAAGGGTAAAATTGGAATAATCAGAATTTTGAAAATAAAAATTCAAATATGTTTCCATATTTACAAAATACAAAAAGGTTGACATTTTTATAAATATAGGTAAAGATTTAGACATCTAATACAATATTTCCTAATATAAAATATAAGGATCTATTTCTTTTATTTCAAAAAAAAAAAAGAATCTATTTCTTTAAAAATATTAAATACATAATTTATAATTTTAACTACTATTTTCACTGGGAATTTGATCATTTTAGTTCATGTACTTTTAAAATGTCCATTTTAATCCGTACTTTCAACTTTTGTTTATTTATGTCCCTATACTTTCAAAACATCAATTTTGGTCTCTATAATTTAAAAATGACAATTTTAATACATTTATAAAAATTTTAACACAAATTCTATACATTATGATTTTCAGTACAAAGTTATAGCTACATTTCAAAAAATTTATTGAGAACGGTATCCTATTGAAATTATAACAAAAAAATAGCAATCAACGAATGTTGGGAACTTCATGGAACCTTGTGGTTGCCACCGGATCTTGTTTCTTAACCTTTGAGTGAGTTTAATGCTAAAAATCATTGATGTCTCTTCAACTCGAGTCTTGAGCGAGGTGCAAGTACCCTAATTGTATGGGTAAAAAATTAAATATCTATCCATTTCGAGTTAACAAAAATTAAAGAAAGTACCGAAACTAAAATATACTTGATAAAAATATCATTATCAAAAGGGACGCTGGCTGGCTATGGCGTAGAGGCCACGCCTGAAGTTGGAAAATTTCTTCAACTTTCAGTCTTCGATGATCCAAGACCAAGACTTAATCCAAGTCAGCCCAACAGCCAATAGTCGTCCAGTTTGAAGAGAAAAAAAACTTAGACATTAATTATATTTCGACTCTGCCAACGAACGTATTATTAATTCAACTAATATCTTTAAAAATGGATGTACTATAAGAGAAAACCCCATTTCATTATCAGCTCATCTGACTGCTTTGTTTTGTGTTTGCCCTTTCAAATGGGAGTCTCCTTCCTCCTACTCTCTCTGTTTCTTTTCTGCCAGTACGCCCATCAGGCATCTGCTTTTGAACTTGGGAATTTGTTGTACAAAACTTGTTCTTTTAATCACACCAATTCTTGGGCATTTGTTGTCAATCCGACCACCGGTAGATCGCGCATTTGGACTCCAACCGGTGACTGCGGTGGCCATCGACGCCTCCGACGTCGTCTTTGATGTGATTTTTGTTGTTACAACATTATTATTTATTGTTTTTTGAGATGGTAATAAGTGTTTTGTGTTTTGTTCAATGACAATGTAACTTCTTCCCTCAGAGAGAATCTCATCTTGAATTGTTATTTAGTATTTTCACAATAATCTTGTAAGTTAAGCTTTGAATTATGAATTATGTAAGTTAGGGAAGTTATGAGTAATAGCTTAATGTCACGTGGATGATAAATTTTAATATTTAGTGTGAAATTAATTAAAAACTTGATTTTCGTCAAAGTGAACATAACTCAGCTGTAATTATATTTGCATATATCTCTTATCAATAGTTTACGAGTTCAATCCCCCATTCCCATATTATACTTCAAAAAAAAAAAAAAATTAAAGACTCGATTTACCCATAAAATTAGAGGTTTTCAAGGGATGGGAGAGGGCCTTGCAGGAATTGAATTCTCCGTTGGACATAATTCTCAGCTTTTTATTATTATTTTGGTCAGAGATAGGTGTCTTAACCACTTGAGCTATGTTCGGTTTGAAGGTCTATGTGCAATTATGAAAGTTGAGAATGGAAAAGTAATTGCAACCATATGCATTTTAACGGTAAGTCTGTGTCCTTTTGTTAGTGAATTTTGAATGTTAGATTATAATAAAAAAATTATATTTAAAAAATAAAATATTTGACTCTTCCCCTTCCATTTTATCATTTAAATATTTGACAACTCATTATTTTTCTAAACAATATTTTATTTTTACATTCACTTTCTTAATTATCTGATATTTAATTGCAGTAAGCAATCAAGTTTTTTCCTTCAAAATATAATATAGTACATAAAAGGTGAATCTGAAATACTTTTAAAACAGGGGTGAAATTTATTCAACCCTATAAAACTGCTTTATATTTTGAATTTTATTGAATTATAACTTTCTTGGGCTAAAATATTTATTTTTTATTTTTTTAAACTCAGATCCCGGTAGCATTTTACTGTTTCTTACATACAAGTTTAGTTTTATCTCTACCGTAGGTCTTAGGTCTTAGAGATCCCACATTGAAAAGAGAATGAGACCTAACAATGATTTATAACAGGCACTATTCATCTCATTGTTAATTGATGGTATCAGAATAAAAAACGTTCAAATGAGGCACTATTCATCCAACTTATTTTTACAGTTTATTTATTTATTAACAAAGTCTTTTCTCTGTTAACTAAAAAAGAAAAGAAAAAGGTGTACTATCTATTCCGAGAGCAAAGTCTTTAAGCTTTTTGACGAGTGTTTCACAAATATCCACGAAAACAATCCAAAATTCCAAAACAACAAATTTTCTCTCACTGCAGCATCTCCGTAATTGACGTTTTCCTTTCCTTTGAACTTATGGCAAAAAAGAAAGTTCAAATCCCAACCCCAACGTATTAAAAAAGAAGAGTACTTCTATGAATTAATTTGAACAATATTTTTATCAAAATTTATATATTTATCCCGATTGTTTGTCATTTTCATATAGGTCAAGTATATTCTAATTAAATTTTCATTAATTTTCTTTTGGGAATAATTATAGTTTCATAACTCAAATAATGTCTATAAATTTTCAAATTTTCATCCACATTTTCAGCAATATCAATATTTAGCACTTGATATGAATAGATATTTTTCATTGCAGCGGCAACAAACTTGGTAAATGGCTATAGCCTATAGGCCCCACCTTTGCCACTCAAATTGCAACGACCAAGACTATTCCACGTCAAGTTAAGAAAAAAGTCACCTTACAATGTAATTTACGCACTCAAACATTTTTATTGTTGTGCCCTCCTGTGTATTAAGTGTGTTTGACATATTTTTTAAATTATTTAGTTATGAAAAATATTTTAAATATTTTTTCAAAACTACCGATATTTGGTTAAAATTTCAAAGATTGTTTTTAACCAAGTAAAATAACTTTTTTTTAAAGGTACTTCTAAAAATTCGTTTATAATTGAAAGTAATTTGTGAAGTTCTTCCAAAAAAAAAATAAAAAATAAAAAAATAAAAAATTTACAAAAGAGTGTTTCACTTAAAAAATATATATTTTTAGAGAATGAAATATTTATCCGGCGACATTAATCTTTTAATATCGTTACATCTTTTACAAGTAAAAAGAGGAAAATGCAGAATTTTCTTTTTCCATTTGTCAAAAGAATAATACATAAATGTTTATCTTCGAGTTAAAATTTGACAGTTTTTAGTTTTTTTTTAAATGTAAAAAAAAATATATATATTTTTCTTCATTTCTCCCCTCTACTCGTTAAAAATTGAATATTGGTGAGCAGAATATACGCAACCTAAATATTATTTTTTCAAGAATTTAAAAAACTATGAAATTTTTATAGAGTGACCCACCTAAATGTTTTTCTTTTCCCAAAGCAATCTCAAAAACACCCTTAATAGTTCATCTCCAAATACATGCTCATCCTTACATCCCTATATAAACCCATTGCATCTCTTCCCTAAAAACACACAACTCAAACACACACATGGCCATCTCCAATATTTTCTTTCTCTTCTTCCTTTCTTCTTTCTCTCTTTTTTCTTCCCACACCCATGCAGCTACTTTTGAAATTCGCAACAACTGTGGTTTCACTGTTTGGGCCGCTGCCGTACCCGGCGGCGGACGACAACTAAACAGGAACGACGTTTGGACACTAAATGTGAATCCCGGCACTGCTGGTGCTCGCATTTGGGCTCGAACCAACTGCAACTTCGACGCGTCTGGCCGTGGCCGATGCGAGACCGGCGACTGCGGCGGCCTCCTCGAGTGCCAAAACTACGGCCTCCCTCCCAACACTCTCGCCGAATTCGCCTTGAACCAATGGAACAACTTGGACTTCGTCGATATCTCCGTCATCGATGGCTTCAACGTTCCCATGGAGTTCAGCCCGATTTCTGGCAACGGGTGCGGTCGGCCTCAGGGCAGCAGATGCACTGCCGACATCAACGGGCAATGCCCGAGCCAGTTGAGGGCTCCAGGAGGCTGCAACAACCCATGCACCGTCTTCGGCGGCGACCAATACTGCTGCACCGCCCCGAACAGTGGCTGCGGGCCGACGGAGCTGTCTCAGTTCTTCAAGACCCGGTGCCCTGATGCGTATAGTTACCCTAAGGACGATCCAACGAGCCTAACCAGTTGCCCGGGAGGAACCAACTATAGAGTCATCTTTTGCCCTTAGAAAAACAAAACTTATTATATGATTATGAATAAGTAAAGAGCTCCCATGAGAGTTTTTTTAGTACAAATATGGCTGAGAGATGGAACTTACAACACAATTATCCTTTGATGCTCCCCTGAGTTTTTTACAGTTGTATGCAGCAAAGTTTTCATCTATATTAAACATAAGTTTGTTTGTGTATGGGCCTACACGTATTAATGATGTTCAAATGGCCAAAATTTTCTTCACGTTGTGGTGGCTTGTTGACTGTATCAAGTCAAACCAGATGATCATAAGTAGGCTACCAGAATTTCCAAGCAAATGTTAGTGGTAAAAAAGAAAATAATAATTCAATATTGTTTCTAAAATAATTACAACTTTGTTTAGATACTATAAAAATATTTATATATAATAGAAAAATAAATGAATGAGTTCCAATTTAAAAAATTAGATGGCTTGCTCGTTGTTCGTTCAACTTCGTTATCATACCTACCAAGCACCATCGACGGTGAGCTTGAAAATCGAAGGTCACGAGCTAAAGGACAACGAAAAAAAGTATGCCTCAGAGAAGAAAATTGTGGACTCTGACTCCTCCCTCCCTCTTTTTTTAGTACAACCATCTCTAGTCTATTCTTCCTCTCTCTTCATTCATAAATTCAATTTATTGTCGTATTTTAGTTATTTATTTGAATATATTAATTAAAATGAAATGATTTTTACTCACGTGAAAATAGTCCTAGCACCTCACACTAATTGACATCTACTTCTTCCTTTGATGTTAGAGGTTTAATTTGTTCTATCCACTATTGTATTAAGAAAAATAAATTATCTTTTTTATAATTTATAACACAATTAAGTCAAAATAGTACTCAGATGAACTAATTTGAACAATTTTTATGGAAATTTATATATTTGTCCTTTTTGTTTTCTGCTAGCATCAACATTTTCAGATAAATATTACTAGGATTGAATCAAAATTGCCAAGTATAACCTAATTAAATTACAATTATAATTTCTAAGATTTTCATCTACATTTTTCTAAAATTAAGAAGTCGATACGAACATTTCCAAGATATCAATATATATTCTCCGTTGCAGCCTCGACAAACTTAGACATTTTATCAAATTGGAATGGCTATAGCCTATAGGCCCCACCTTTGCGCACAAATTGCAACGACCAAGACTATTCCACGTCAAGCTAGGAAAAGTCACTTTCAAATATAATTTAGGCACTGAATTATTTTTATTGTGCCTCCTGTGTATTAACTATTAAATGTGTTTGACATATTTTTTAAATTATTTATGAAAAATATTTAAAATATTTTTTCGAAACTACCGATATTTGGTTAAAATTTTAAAGGTTGTTTTTAACCAAGTAAAAGTACTTTTAAAAAGAAAAAAAAAGTACTCATAAATTTTTTTATAATTGAACATAATTTGTGAAATTCTTAAAAAAAGTTACCAAAAAGGTGTTTCCCTTAATTAATATATATATATATATATATATATATATATATATATGTGTGTGTGTATATATATATGTATGTATATATATATGAAAGAACAATACCAATCAATACCAATCCTTTGTTGAATATCATTATATTTTTTACAAGTAAAACGGACTTCAATATTTATATAAATACATAATACAAAATAATAATTCAATATATTTTCTAAAATAATTACAACTTCGTTTATATCCTATAAAAATATTTATATAAATAATAATAATATAAAAGAAAATGCATAAGTTCCAATTTAAAAAAATTAGATTGCTAAATTTTATATTAAAAAATACAAAAATTCTTAAAACTTTTGATAAACAATTAGATTAAAAAGAAAATATGAAAATGTATGAAAAAGAATGCTTTTAAGTGTAAATCCATGGTACAATCGACAAACATGTTCGTCGCTCACTTCATATATTGTTGCAATTCCAATTCAATTGTTTTGTATAAGCTCATTCGTATAAAAATAAGTATGAATAATTTCGATTCCCAATTTAAGTTGTTATCAAATTGACTTTTATAATATCACAACATGTGGGAGTGGACTTTGAACTCATGACGTCTTAGCAAAGATATATGTTAATTACCGCTAAACTATGATCACTTTATCAATTATAGTGTTCTTATTAAACTATGAAAAACTAAGCTATATGTTATGTTATGAAATATGACTTTTTTTTATAACGTTTAGCATAATATAAAAAGATTGCTACGAAAAGTTAAAACTTTCTATATAACATATGGGCTACCACAACGTGACGTCATGACAAATAATACATTGTGAAAAGCTTATCATAATTTTTCTCTATGTTAATATTATGTAATATTTTTATCATAAAAGAATTGGTTTTAAGCCTAAGGTCTATCTTCTAGACTACACAAAAACAGAACCGACAACCGCTAAAGAAGCTCTTAAACATGAACATTGGCGAAAGACCATGATTGATGAATACAATGCTCTTATGAAGAATGCAACCTGGGAACTTACTACACCTTTACCAAATCAAAAAGTAATAGGCTACAAATGGGTCTTCAAGATCAAAAGAAATATGGATGGCTCAGTCTCTCGGTACAAAGCAAGACTAGTAGCTAAGGAGTTCCATCAAACGGTCGATATAGACTATTCGGAAACGTTTAGTCCGGTTGTCAAGCCAATAACTATTCGGGTTCTATTCACTCTTGCTTTAGCAAACGGTTGGGAACTTCGGCAGATAGACATTAATAATGCATTTCTTCATGAACTACTACATGAGACTGTCTTAATGGAACAACCTACGGGTTTTGTAGCTGGTGGTTCAGAACATATGGTGTGCAAACTACGGAAGGCCTTATGTGGATTAAAGCAAGCGCCTAGGGCTTGGTTTGAACGACTAAGCACTTTCCTCAAAACGCTTAATTTTGTTGGTTCTAAGGTTGATCCCTCTATGTTTTACAGATTTCAAGGTGGTAACTGTTGCTATATTTTAATATATGTAGATGATATAGTGATTACGGGTAGTTCTTTGACTGAAACTCGACAACTTATCAATCTACTACACAACAAGTTTGCCTTAAAGGATCTCGGTACACTCAGCTATTTCTTAGGCATCGAAGTGTCCTATCCTACAACTACAAGCATTTTTCTGTCTCAAGCCAAGTATATTACTGATCTATTAAAAGAGCTAAGATGCATGAAGCTAATGCCATTGCTACACCTATGATCAGTGGCTCCATTGTTTCTGCCCGACAAGGTGATTCTTTAGCAGACCCATATCTATACAGAAGCATTGTTGGGGCGCTACAATATGTTACACTTACAAGGCCCGAAATCTCTTATGCTGTAAACAAAACCTGTCAGTTCATGCATGCACCTACCATGATTCACTCGCAGTTAGTTAAACAAATCCTAAGGTACCTTAAAGGGACATTTGATAATGGGTTACTTCTCACAAAACCTACTACATTAACTCTTCAAGGATACTCATACGCAGATTGGGCTTCCGACCCTGATGACAGAAAATCAACATCCGGATTTTGCATTTACTTAGGTAATAATCCTATATCATGGGGATCTAAGAAACAAGCAATAATTTCACGTTCAAGCACAGAAGCAGAATACCGTGCTCTTGCCCTCGCTGCCTCAAAATTGATTTGGTTGAAAACATTGTTCTCGGAGTTGAGAATTCTGATCCCTAATCCACTGATTCTCTGGTGTGATAATCTTAGCTCAGTCCATCTCAGTGCCAATCCGGTTCTCCATTCACGAACGAAGCACGTAGAAATTGATATCTACTTCATTCGGGATCTTGTGATTTATGGCAAACTTCGTGTACAACATCTCCCCTCTTGCGCAAATCGTAGACGCTCTCACAAAACCTTTATCATCGGCACGATTTCAGATTTTGAAAATCAAGCTCAATGTCTACTCACCGACAAACATGGGCTTGCGGGGGAGTTAAAACCAATCACTAAAATTAGGTTTCAGTTCTGTGGTTTATGGGCCTAATTTCTAATTCTGTTAATGGGCCTAGTACAAATACACTTTCCTATAAATAGCCATGGCTTACTTTGTAAATGATGATGAATTCAAGATAATACAAACTGAATTCATTCCAATTCTTGATATTTTGAAAATATTTAATAGAAAGATGAAATAAGTAAAGACGCTAGAATGAAATATACATTTTCAAATCATATTTAAAATTAAAGATAATAAAAATTAAGGTTAAATTTGAATCTTGCAATGTAATAGGTACTTAAATTCTAATCATTCCCTAGCCTTTAATTTTAATTTTTTTTGTCTAATAGACCACTGCACTTTTAGAAATATTTAATAAATCTCTAAATTTTAGATTTTGTGTTTAATAGTCCTATATCATTTCAATTAGTAAAATATTTAATAACTTCTCTTATATATTCTCAAATAAAGATGATTAAAAAATCTCTAATTTTATTTCAAAAGTGAATAGTTAATTATCTAACAATCTCCCTCAGTTGACTTCAAAATTTGTACAAGACCCAACAACACAAGTGAAAATCAATATTAAATTGGAAGGAAATGACAAATTCGAATACAGGACCTCACTCTCCTCTATATGTTGCTCAGCCCAAACAATGATCCCTAGTTATAGTGATCCACTAGCATAAGTTATACGACATCGATTTCGAGGAATAAAAAAATCACCAATAAACGCAAAAGGTTAAGTTGATGAGTTATGATAAATTCCTTCATTTATAAGATATCTAATGTTTTATAATGTTCTCCTTTATTGTTTATTGTTTTTCTTTTCCTATTTTTTAATAAATAGAAATAAAACTGTGTTTGCTAATTATTTCTTTGTTTTTTTTTATTAAAAAAACATAAACATTTTGATAATCATTTCTTGTCGCTCGTTCTCCAAAATTTTTTATATAAAAATTAATTTTTTAATTAAGTATTTAAATGTTATATCTTATACGTATTATCCGTTTAATAAGTCAAGAGTGATGAAATAATGCTTTTATTTACGTTTTGGGAAAAAATTGGAAACATAAACAAATAAACAAGAAACTTAATTTTGTTATTTCTAAAATTTATACACAATTTTAGAAACGTTTCTTAAAAATATAAAACGAAAAACAAGAATAGTTGCCAAGCACTTTTGCATTTATACAAAATTGAAAACGAGAAACAAAAAATAAGTAAGGACAAAACGTTACCAAACAAATTCGCTTTCTTTCTTGGTCTATTTCTCAAACGATAATACTTGACTCTAATGGTGAGGACCAAATCTTCTTCTCACCATTATTGAAAAATTGAAAATTCATTCTATTTAAAAAAAGAAGTTTTTTTTAAGTACATTTAAAAAGAGAAGTTTAATTTTGCATTTATCTTTTTTTAGTTGTCAAAGATTTAATAGTGGTGAAGACACGATTTCTCCTTACGATTAACGTGTCAAAGTATTTTCCTTTCTCAGATCAAGAAAAATCTCGCAATTCAAACCAAGAATTCCCACACGAAAAAGGAAAAAATTGTCATCCCTAGCCCTGGTTTAATTTAATGCTAAGTAGAATAAGAATTCAAACTAGGCGTCGTAGCATAACTGCAAACTTAGATATATTATTCTTAGACTTTTCCTCCAACACTTGTCCCATAACCAAACACCTAGACTTGTTTCATATAAATTACAACTATACGCAGTTTACTACTATGTGCTACTATATATTAATTAATTATATGTGCTCTTCACTTATTTTCAATTTCAACTTCCTTCTTTAATCTTTTAAAATTCACAAGTTTACTTTAGTGTGTATTAGAAAGTTTCAATTGTTTTGCTCTTTCTCTGGTTAAAATTGGCCTGTCAATAAAAAAAAATTAATGTAATCAATTTAGTTATTGTTTTATTAATATATTTAAATACAGAGAGACGATATACTACTTCACACACCAGAACCTATTTGGCCTTAACTAAAATTAAATTTGTCGGTACACAAAAGAACAATGCCTTTGGGAAGGGAAAATTTCTAATACTACGAGAATACCATACCTCCTTATTTACATAATAAATAGAAGAAATGGATCTCACTTATTTCCCCTTTGGGCAGTAGGTATAACATTTGGTCCAATCGCCAATTGACACATAGGCAATGAATAATATTTATTGAAAAAATATAGTAGAACACTTTAATAAAAAGAAGATTAAAAAAATAATATAAATGGTGTCAAATAGCCATTGTAGTTGATAAGTTGATACTGCCAAATATGTCAAGATTTTTAGTCATTTTTAATAGGATAGAACTGAATTTTAAAAATATTAGAGATGAAACTGAGAATTATTAAAAAAAAAAAAACATTAGACAACTTTTGAAATATTTAGTCTATTAATTAATGAGTTAATTTATCTTTTAAAGTTTCAAATGCATACCCTTCCTGTTTCTTCCTATACAAAAAACTTCAAACATACAAACTTAATCAAGCCTTGAGCATCTGTTTTACCTTAATGGGAGACTCCATCTTATTTCTCCTTTTTCTTTCTATTCTCTCTTTCTCTTCCCACACCCATGCAGCTACTTTCCAAGTCCGCAACAACTGTCCCTTCACTGTTTGGGCCGCCGCTGTACCGGGCGGCGGACGGCAGCTTAACCGAAACGACGTTTGGACATTCAACGTGAACCCGGGCACAGCCGCTGCCCGCATTTGGGCTCGAACTAACTGCAACTTCGACGGGTCCGGCCGCGGCAGATGCCAAACCGGCGACTGCGGTGGCCTCCTCCAGTGTCAAGCCTACGGCACTCCGCCAAACACCCTGGCCGAATACGCCTTGAACCAATTCAACAACTTGGACTTCTTCGACATCTCTCTCGTCGACGGGTTCAATGTTCCGATTGATTTCAGTCCGACTTCTAACGGGTGCAGCCGGGGCATCCGGTGCACGGCTGACATCAACGGGCAGTGCCCGAACGAGCTGAGGGCTCCGGGAAGCTGCAACAACCCGTGCCCCGTGTTCGGGGGCGACCGCTACTGCTGCACCGCCCCGAATAGCAGCTGCGGGCCAACGGATTACTCGAGGTTCTTCAAGGAGCGGTGCCCTGATGCATACAGTTACCCTAAAGATGATGCAACCAGCACATTTACTTGCCCTGGGGGAACCAACTATAGGGTTGTGTTCTGCCCTTAGAACCATATTTATTATATATGAAAAGTAAAAACCAAAAACTTTACTCTGAATAAGTAAGAATCCGATGAGTTTCTTTACTCTCTGGTTCATTTAAATATATATATATATATATATATATATATATATAAAGTCTCCGGTTTTGCTTCTATTTTATGTGTATGTTATGGATGAAATGAAATAATTGTAATAAAAGAGTTGGATGAGCTCGGAAGAAAATATAACCTATTATTAGCTATCATATATGTCAGTAGTGTTTATAAAATACATATGACCTTGTAATTTCGTAGAATTTACAATTTAATAGCACATTTTTTTGTAGTAGAAAATTTGTAATAATTTAGTCTATAACCATTAAAGTATACAACAATTTGTTCGTAGTTTAATATTTATAACAATTTAGTTTTACCATAAAAAATTTATTAATATCGATTTTTAATATGTAATAATAAAGATTTAGTACATTAGTTCAAAAATGCATTTATTGTTTAAGAAAAAAGAAGATTTACACAGGTAAGAAATCACATTACACATCTTAACATGAATTTTTCACTGTAGGTAGGAAATCATTCCCTTTTTAAATTACATAGATTAAACTTTTACCACTTTTAAATAAAGACTAAATTATTATATATAAAAAGTTCAGAGAGATTAGATTGTTACTTCACACGGAGACTAAATTTCTTTTTTAATGTTTATATATATCAATATTCATGGAATTCCATCTCAAAATCAATTAACAAGGAGAGAAGTAACTCATTTATATTATAAACCCCTGTTAGATCATTTTTCTTTTCAACACGAGATCCTTAACAAAATATGTATAATATACATTCTCACCATCAAGATCTTATTATTAATAAAATAAATTCGATATTCACTTTTGTAAATAGTTGCAAATGTGGTCATCTATCTACGTCTGTTCTTTTATTCATTCAATATAAATGTTAATGCCGATATAGTTATGATGTAAAATTTTAAGAATAAAGCATTGTTTAGTGAGGTGGTTAGTCGTTAATTAATTAAAAAAATATCAAAGTTTTAAATGTCGATGTCGATAGAAATGTTAAGCTCTCAATTTCGATCATTTCATTTATTTCGTGCTTATGGAGAGAAAGTTGATGAATATTTCTTAAAAAATCATTAAAATAAAAATATATAAGAAAATATTAGATTAAGGAAATAAGGCTTTCACCTTTTTTAAATATGTCAAAACAAATCGTATTATTAATATTATGGGAGTAATAGTTTGTTGGTTTTTTTTTTTTTTTTAAATTTTGGTTTTTATATAATCAAAATTCATTTCGAGGTGTTAATAATGATAGGTGAGTCACAAAGTCGGATAATAAATTAGTATGTTTTATTTTCTTTTCGTCTTTTGTTTTTTTAGTAAAGTGAATATGGAGTGGAAATTTTGAATTAAAGACTCTACAAGAAAATGAGTTGATGGATTAAATCCTTGATAGTTCGCATATTTTTAATTTTATGGTTTGGAATGTTCATTAAATTAAAACCTCGAATTTTCTGTTTTTATTTTATTTTATTTTATTTCTTTCTTGAGTTCAAACATGAAATGTTTTTTTTACTTAACCTAGCATATGAATTTTACTGACATTATTATTTTGCTAGTAACCTGGTTAAGATATCTATCGCTGATTAAAAAGTCATCCGTTCGAATTTTCACTCCCATCTAATGTTGTATTAAAAGAAAAAAAAATTATTGTGGCATATAAAAACTATCTTACTACTCTTAATAAATCTACAGATCAGTATTTAATTTTCTTGACTACTTTAAAAGACTATACTACTTTAATAAAAGGAAGAAAATTCACAACAAAAATTCATTAATAAATATCTTCAATGATACTTTATGGATGGTGGAAAACCATAATTTTTGTCCCACATTGTGTTGACTTGACTATATCAAAGTCCAGCTCCAGATAAGTCTTAAAAAATAATAATATTATATTTCTCCAATAAAATTACAAAATAATAATGTTATAGTCTTATTATTAAACTATGATGGTTCCACCATGATAGTGAGAAACAATCGTTTATTTTCAAAAATTTTCAGATCTCCAACTCTTTGATAGGATGATATAACAACGATTGTTTTATCTTAGCCAACTAAATCGACATTTTTTTTATATATAATAATTATGGCAGCCTGTATATTACAAATCACTCCACAAAAGTAAGGTTATCCAAAATTAATAGTACGATATTTGCAACCAAAAAAAAGGGAAAAAAAAACTCTTAAAAAGTATTATAAAATTTATGGTAGTTTGTGACATGGATCCCAACGAGTGTGTGTTTATCTTCCAACCCCACTTAAATAACTTTTTTTTTTCTTTCTAAAAAATAAAAATATAGTTTTGCATCTTAAAGAGGTCTACCCAATTTTTCTAATTTGGTTCAAAAGTTCAAAAGTATTTATTTTAATCTCTCCATATGATACGTTTTAGGTTCCATTTTGTCATTAAAATCTTTAACCAAAAAATAAAATAAAATATATGACTCATTTTTTAGTTGTTTGATTATCTCAATGACCTTAATTTTTCAAAATTTTAATATGCACAAGTTTATTACTTCTCCCTTTTAACTCTGATTATTGTACTGGTTTAAAGATCTATTCGTTTTCAATTTTTATCCTGAGTGATCATATTATACTATCCTTTTCATGTACTCATGAACAATTAATTAATGATATGTGCAGATTGATCCATAATGAAAGAACAAATTATTTCATTATTTTAAATTCTTTTGTTCATGCTAATTAAAATAAATATATTTGACCAAAAGATTATGAATTTTCCCAATCCATCTTCACATGTGGTTGGAACAAAAAAAGAAAAAACAGAACCTTTGCTCACGATTTTAATGTCAAAATAGTAAATATGAAACTGAATAAAAGTGTAAATTGAATTTTGTAAACTTTAGAAAATTGTAATATCATAGGGTCAAGGGGTTTCTAGTAATTTAACTTGTCAATTGTCATATTGATTATTGACCTTCATGGCCTTCCCTAGTTTCCTATATAAACCCCAATGGATCATTTGTTTAAGCACAAAACTCAAAAAGCTCAGCTCTTTCGCACCAAGATGAGAACCACCATTTTCTTTCTTCTTTTCTTGACACTTTTCTGTGTCAATGCCGACGCAGCCACTTTTGAGATCCGCAACAACTGCCCTTTCACTGTCTGGGCAGCCGCCGTACCGGGCGGCGGACGACGGCTTAACCGAAATGAGGTATGGTGGTTATGGGTGAACCCTGGCACCACAGCCGCTCGTATTTGGGCTCGAACCAACTGCAACTTCGACGGGTCCGGCCGCGGGAGATGCCAAACTGGTGACTGCGGTGGCCTCCTCCAGTGCCGAGGCTACGGCGCTCCGCCGAACACCCTCGCCGAATTTGCATTGAACCAATGGAACAATTTGGACTTCTTTGACATCTCTCTTGTTGACGGGTTCAACGTTCCAATGGAGTTTAGTCCAACTTCGGGTGGGTGCAGGGGCATTAGGTACGTGAGTCATAAATTAAGCTTAGAAGCATTACTTCCATATTTTTCTTCCTTTGGTATAATTTTAATAAATACTAAAAAAAACTTTGTTTTGTTTTTGAAATTTAGTTAAGAACAACGGTATTTGATTTTTCTCATCTATATATCATATGGATCACGCTCTTCTCTCTAACCAACGTGAGACTTTGTTTACATTGTAACCCAAACAGAATTCAAATATAGAAAACTAAAAATGAAATGATTATCGTATGGTGTGAGATAACTACACATCTATCTTTGATTCTTCACTTTGTCCTTGTAGATGCACTGGAGATATCAATGGACAGTGCCCGAATGAGCTAAGGGCTGCGGGAGGTTGTAACAACCCATGTACCGTCTATAGAAGCGACCAATATTGCTGCAACTCYGGCAACTGTGGGCCCACCGGCTACTCCCGATTCTTCAAGGATCGGTGTCGAGATGCTTACAGCTACCCGAAGGACGATCCAAGCAGCACGTTCACTTGCCCGGGCGGAGCCAACTATAAGGTTGTTTTTTGCCCTTAGAACCAGAGGTACCCATACAATATGGTACCAATAAAAATAAGGCCTAATCTGCAGGGCCAGTAGAAACGGCAGCTTTTCCATGATGTTTTCACTTTTCAATATATGCTATGCTTACAGCTTAATGTTTTCTATTTTCATGCTTCGTAATCTAACCTATTTACTATACTACGGCTTTTCAACCATCCAAGTTAAAAGTTATGGTAATTTAATTTATCTAATCCTAGACTATAATAAAATGTACACTCAATTTGACTTTTAAAATAAGTTTAAAAACCACGTTATTTACTATACTACGGCTTTTCAACCATCCAAGTTAAAAGTTATGGTAATTTAATTTATCTAATCCTAGACTATAATAAAATGTACACTCAATTTGACTTTTAAAATAAGTTTAAAAACCACGTTATTTACTATACTACGGCTTTTCAACMATCCAAGTTAAAAGTTATGGTAATTTAATTTATCTAATCCTAGACTATAATAAAATGTACACTCAATTTGACTTTTAAAATAAGTTTAAAAACCACGTTTGGCCCATGTTCTTTCACTTAAATACTTGTACTTTAAATAGGTAACAATCTAAAATTTGTAACAATTTAGTCTCTACCATGAAAAAATCATATTAAAATTAAGTGTCGATTTATATCATATAAGTCTGTGTAGTTTATATACACACTTGGTCATCCCTCATAAGTTTATCGATCTAGATGTATAAGAAATTTAACAAAAAAATCCACGATAGAGATAGGGACCTAATTGTCACAAACTTTAAACTACAAGAATTAAATAGTTACCTACTAAAGTTCAAGGACTCAGTTGTTACCAATTTGAAAATACAGAGACTAAAATGGTTACAAAACAAAAATTTAGGGACTAAATCGTACTTTCAAAAGTACGATTTGACAAAACGTATTTTTTAAACCGGAAATAATTAGTCCAAAACTCAACTATAAACCACGGATAAAAAGAACTATAATTTAATTGATCGTACATGGTGTTGTGTTATAGCTGCCTTTTGTGTCCATGAGGATATAAAAAATGAAGTTAGAGAAAGTGTTATGAATTGAGATATTATGAGTTTTACTTATTGCCGTGTTTGAACATATAATAGATAAATATAATATATATATAAAGATTGACTAATTATTTTCTTTAGTTTTTAAGCTTTCGTCTTTTAGTTTCTACTGTTTACATGAGAGATTAATAATGCTTCCACCAATCTTTTTTAATATATTTAATAGAATTGAAACTTGTTTTCAAAACTTGACATGTGTCCAATTCCATAGATTTCAAATACTTATCTACACGTAGAATTTCACGCGTTAGGTAAATGAAATAAAAGGATATGTTTACATCAACTTTCAATTATTATTTACCAACAAAAAATTATTAAAACGATTCTTTTTTTGAAGTAGAACCAAAATAAAAAATATATATATTTAAAGTAGTTTAAGCGATCCAAAATAGAATAAAAATGAATCTTAGGACTAAAACGTCATTGCATTATTAACTTTAATTCTTAATCTCTCTCTAGCAGAAAATAAGAGTAAAATAATACATTTATTCGTTTAAAAAATTGATTGATGTGTCATAATTTAAAATTTTTGATCTTCAACCTTCAAAATGGCGAAATAATTAATTAAATATGTCAATAGGATTTGGCCCATAGAAATTAAAGAAAGGAAAAGAGAGAGTGGAGAAGTACCAAGTTTCAACAAAAAAATTATTACCAAAAATATCTGCATGAGGAAAAAAGAAAATTGTGGGCGGCCGAGTGAAGGTGGTGGAAATAAAAGAGAGGCGGATTGGCCCTCGAAGCCGACTTGTCGGCCATATCCAGAGTCCGAGCGATGAGTCGTCTTCTAGAAAATTTCCGTAATGGATTTAAACAATTTCGACATATTTTGAAACTGATTTTAGAACTTCTTTTTCCTAATTCCCACTGAAATATTACATATAAATATAGTTTATAAATCTTTTATTTTTGCTCCATATGATTTCTTTTTGCCACCAATCTATTCGGTCGACCATGTTACTTATCATTAGATAGTTTTACTTTAGCTGTTAAATTATATTTTTTGAAATTTTATTTCTTTATTCTTTAATTTGCTACTAAAAACAATAAAATTTAAACGGACAATTTTTTGAAGAAAGAAATTTAAACGTGAGAATTCAAAAATACGATTAAATACAAAAGATTACCGATGGTTTAAACTAGTTAAATTATGTTCAAAATTTACATAATTTAATAAAGGTTACAATAAGTTAGGAATATGTGAAAAAAATCCCTTATTATCGATCTAAGTGATTGGTACTAATACCTCGTTCCGGTAGAGATATAAGTTCATATCCTCTTCCATATATATAATATTCTAAAACCAATCAAATTATTAACAAACAATGCTCCATGCACACAGAAACAAAACAAAACAAGACCTCCATGCATTGAATTAAGCGAATTCCCTTTCATGGATATTAAATGGGAAATGAGATATTCTTAAAAATATATTTTTTAGAATAATATGTTTGTGCCGTTAGAATCCTATATTCACAATTTATAAATATTTTCGTCAATCTAAACATAGAGTGTGTTTGGAATTGATTTTGACAATGACAAAAATAATTTTATTTGGTTTTGTCAAAATCATTCCCAAACACACTATTGGATGATAATTTTAGAAAATTAATTATATATATATATATATTTTTCAAAATCACTCATGCATTCTATCATCATTCTCAAACACACCCATAATTCGAGTAGATAAAGTACTTATTACCATCTCTAAGATTGGTGATTATCGACCTCTTAACTTACAATTGTTGAACTTAAAAAAAATAGAAAAAAAAAAGATCTTTTAATGCATTGAGGTTGAACTAATCAACTTATAAACACATGCATAAAATTATGGATAGATGGCCACGTGGCACATTTGGTTGGAGCGAAACAACCAAATATTCTCTGATCGTGATTCGCCATTCACTCATCTTTTGGAGGATATCAAAGTTTAAGACTTTCTTTTTTGTAATTAAGATATTTCTACCATATCACTTAATTGCAATGCTTTCATAGCCTCCATTTGTATGTTTCTCACATACTTATTAATGAATTTCCTCGTATCTTTTTAAAAAAACATTCAAATTTAGGTTTCAATTCAATGTACAATTCTTCCCACAATATTCTAATATATGACTGAATACTCTACTCTTCTTCATGAAAAGTATGAGAAGACAATAAAATTAATAACCCTCACTCTTCAAAAATTAGATATTTTTTAATACAACATGTGGGGTGGGAGATCAAACTCGCAACCTTTTGATTGGAGATATATGTCAATTATCACTCAACTATACTCACTTTGGCTCAAAATAATTAAATATTACTTGTGAAAAACTTAATGATCTTATTGCATACTCCATTAATAGAGAAGTATTGTCCATTACTGTTGAGCTAAGCTCATGTATCATGACTTTAAGGACATTAGTTTCTTTATGTAATTAATTTTTTAAAATAATTTACAAAAATTTTAAATATAGTTTTATTTATTTTCTTTTGTACTTTACATAAATGATCAAATTTAAATAAGAAACCAGCATGGAAATTGCCAACAAATAAAAGAGAAATAATAAAAACAAATTGTTTTCCAAGTTTTATATGTGTTATGCTGCAAGGTAGCAGTGAGTATTAGTTGTAGTTCCCTTTTCCATATAAATTAATGGAACCCCACACTTCCAATCCTCAATCTCATTTTAATTTCTTCCTCCAAAATAATCTCTCTGGTTCTCTCTTGTCATCGAAATTCATGGCGGCGGCTCGTCATCTCGCCATCTTCATCATCGGAGTTCTCCTCATCGTTGTCGGTCCCCTCTCTGCAGAAGAGAAGGTGGAAGCGGCCGCTTCTGGAACTTTATTTTCTCTGCGTTTTTCAAGAAGATTTACAGAAGGCGCGAAGAATATTGATGATGTTTACGAAGGCTCTCTTCGTGAAGTTCCTTCAGGGCCAAACCCACTGCATAACCAAACTCCACCCCCTCCGCCTAAACTCTAGTATGTACTAAACTCAACTCAATAAAATGTGCAAATTTAAGCATAGTCGGGTTAAAGCAAAACATGTTGGAACCATCCATCTTGTACTCAAAAAAGAAAAAAAAAAATCTAATAAAAACTTGAACTAATTTATATTTCTCTCCTCCTTTCTACTTTTTAGTACAACAAATTTGAATACATAGATTTAAGTTTTTAAACTGAAGGAATTAAAATAGTATTTCTAGATCTTTATTTTACCCTAAAATTTAACAAGGCATGAGGTGTATTGGTTTTTTACTTGAATTTTTAATTTTCGTTAAATTGGATTTTAATATTCGTTAAATGTGCAATATTACCTTAAGTGTTGCCGTTTTTATATTTAGATGTCTTTTTTCGTTTGAAGAATTGATATTAAAATTAGTAGGTGAGTTTATAAATAATCAGATCTTTAAACAAAAAAAAAAAATTTCTATTATTGAAGAAAAATATATTGTACTTTGATGGGGGAAAATGTGGATATATTTCCAAAATAATAAGAGGATATTAGGTGTTTATGGTCCATGAATTAAATTAATATATACACCATTAGAAAATCAAGAAAAAAAGATCAAATTTAGTTCAACCAATCAAGACACGTATATACCATTAAAAGAAGGTGAATTCAAATCTCTATAGAAATTAAAGTCGCATAATTTTTGCAAACAATGGTCTCTTAGTAAGAATTTTGGATTCAATAAAAGACCCTCAATTAAAACCAACTGCGAAAACACCGCCAAACATTTATTTGCTAATGGCTAAAAACGAACATGCCGATATATATGCATGACAATATGCAATTAATTTTGTAACCGAAGGTCAAAGTTGCCAAAATATATATTAGCTGTAGACCATATTGTAATTTGAGTGATAAAAGATATTTGGTATTTCTTTCTATGCATTATAAAATTTATTTAATTTGTTATATATTGTGATTTGTCAACCTATGATATTGTTTATTTGCCTTCAAAGTTATAGGTTTAAAACTTCAAATTCACATACTTCCATCTAATTGAACAAAAATAAATAAAATAAAATTGTTATCGTCTAGTCAATTAGTAAATTGATTTGAAGTATATGATAAGGCTGAATTTTTACCCCT